ATTTGAGAAAGATTTCATGTTGTAAAGCAGCACGGAAGTGCACGTCTCAAGAAATATATTTATGACTTTAGGATCCGTGGTACATCGTGGCTATTTCACAATGTAATCTCATCTTTACAATTAATTAAATAAAAAATTAGTATATTAGTCTTATTTTTGAATTGTTGTTAACATAACTCTGTACTATGATATTGATGATATATGTATTGGATGCCATAAGATGGTACTTGATTGCCAACCAACCTAATCAAATATGTATTTTGCATTGTACAAGTGCAAAATAAGTTATTAGGAAATTAGGATATTAGTACCAGCTGTTTTATACGCATGAGCATTGGCCGATCCTGTCAAATCTCATCATCTGTTTTGGGGCGTGTCTGGTTGATGTGAAATTGTTTCAGCCAATGGGTAACGGAATTAACTGGTGTCTGTATGAAAACCGCCGTAAATAGAACTTGCGATACTGGTGCAGACGACTATGGTCGAACAATCATGAGAAATAAATGGCGGGACTTTGGTGTTTCACATTTAGCACAGAGATAAAAGACACGCCACAGTTGGACAACCAATCATTTTATTATTTGTCACGATGAACAACGGATCATCTGCACGTCCTTTGTAAACACCACTTTATGTGCCGCCATCCAATGGCGGGATGAGCGGCTTTCCCTGTGCGCAATCAGCGTCAATTTTATGAGAGAAACAAGACGCACTTGCTTAGCCCGTCTGGTGGCGCCCTACTATTTCATCAATATCCAAATATACTATTATCCTGTTCCCGAATTGGACATTTGTTTATTTGGAGTATTTTCCAATTCTATGCCAGGTCCTTAGTAATTTATGATTCCACGTATTTATTTGGCCGTTATTTGACAGACGTTAAATGCCATAATGTTAATTCGCGTAAATTTAAGCACACTGCATGGAAATAATTGAAATCAAAATATTTCACAATATATTAGGTTTTGTGTCGCATGCACACGATTGAAATATCATATAAAATGGGCCTAATATACTAATGTTGTATTTATTTTAATTGTAAGAACAAGTTTACATCCTGGAATGGCGACGATGTACCACGGATCCTTTAGAGTTCAATCGACAATTTGGTAAGAGGGCACACCTGAATACATGGACACTCTTTTTGAAGTTTAGCCATCACTTCATCTAAACCATATATAAATGTATTCAATGACTCAACGTAGTGTCATGTACTGTCTACGGAAGGCTGCTACAGATAGTCAAAATAAAAACACCATCAGTAGATGATGGGTTAAACCTTTATCAAATAATACTATCTACTAAGAACACACCTTTTCTGAAAAGTCAACAATCAGATATCCTCCACTTCTTCATGCCATGCCATGTAATGTGGGAGTTTAATGACGTGATAGTTATATTTTATTATTCTCTTGATCAGCACTTACAAGTCATGGGACTTTGCAAACACATTAAAGTTAATACCTTACTATCTCATCATTGTGACTCTCCCTATTCTTAAGTAGTGCAATTAATGTTTTCTATTGTCAACAAGGTTTACTGCATTCAAAATTAGATCCTTTTCGATAACTTCTCTGTAATACTGAATTTTATTATGTTCCTAAATATACTATCTGTTGCTATATGTATGAATATGAATTATTTAATGCAATTGTTTGTTTTATACATGAAAATATGACATTTAGGAAAGATGACATTTAGGAAACATCAACTTTTAATTTGTATGCTGCAATTGATTATATTATTTTTGAACATAATGGTTTGTATATTTTT